ATACCTGTATATCTTTACACTTCAACAAAAAGCATCATTAAAATTTTGAAAAATACAGAGGTATGTATGAAAGAGATATGTTTTTATACATTTGGTCTTTTTTCCTTCTCTCTCCACTTGTACTTATTTTTCCTTAAAAGCTTATGTAGCCAAGAATGATTTTTTTTAATTTTAAGCATATTATACATTTCTCTTTTGATGGTAAGACAAAAAGTGAAGGTAGCTACCATGTGGAAGGCACAAGGAAGGGCTTAATGGATATTATTTCATGTAATTCTCAGAAAAGTACTCTAGGGTGGAAAGTATCTCCAGTCTCCAGATGAGGCAACTGGAGCTGAGAAAGCCCTAATGACTGAGCATGAGATTACGTGTTGGAAGCAGGATTCTAACACAGGTCTGGCTGTCTTACTCCAAATTCCTGTGGAACTGATATTCCTCCCCAAACAAGGAAAACTGGTCTGTGGCTTCTACATTTCACCCAGCTTTAATAATCATTGAGGGACTTGCTCAAGTTAGTCAGAGCCTTAAAGCAGGGGTCCCCAACCTCCCTCCTGGTCCATGGACACCATTCACATTACCTCCTGAGGCCCACCTCCTGTCTCCCCCACCCCCCATCCCCATCTGTGGAAAAATTGTCTTCCATGAAACCAGTCCCTGGTGCCAAAAAGGTTGTGGACTGCTGCTTTAAGATATCCCCAATTCAGAAAGAGACAGACAGACAGACACACATGGATGTAAGAGAGAAACATCAATCAGTTGCCTCCTGAGAAGTATAGATCAGTTGCCTCCTGTATGTGCCATGATCAGGAATTGAACCTGCAACCTAGGCATGTGACCAGAAATCAAACCACAAACTTGTTGTATGGGAGAACACTCCAACCAACTTAGCCACCCAGCCCAGGCTGGGTGGCTGAGGGTTTCTAAGTCCAACTTTCTTATGGCATTTGTAATGCACTTTTATTAAATTGTGAAACTGTTGAAGAATAGGAAGTGGTGTTCTGGTTTGGAAAACTTCCATTTTATCCTGCAGTGATTTTGCTTCAGACTCATAAAACTGAATGCCCTGCATCAGGATAGTAAGTGAAAGTGTAACCCAGAGGAGGCAGGGATATTTCATGCAAATTCTGTATTTGTTCTCCAAACAAACCTCTGTATACTTGCAGTTAGGATGTTAGTTAGGTGGACATTAGAAACTTCTGAGGTTTTCCTGCTTAATTTTCCTTTTATGATGTGCTGTGATAGCCATACAAAAGAATACATGTAACATATGTTGCATAGCATAATAATAAAATGAATACTCATGAGCACTCAATGACTAAAGAACATTAAGACCATTTTTTGTTTGTTTGTTGTGTTTTTTTGCTTACTGCTCTAACCCCAGGACATAGAATGGTACCTGGTATGTAGTAGCTTAATAAATATGTTTAAATGTATGCATAAATCAACTTGATTTTTCCTTCCTTATATCATTGGCCCCAGCCTCTCCCCAGAGGAAACAACTACCTTATGTTAAGAGTTATTATTCCCTTACATTTTTGTTTTTTAACATATATATTCTTTACTTTTACTTCTTTTTGAACATCATGTAATGGACTCATATTGTATGTATGTATGTATGCTTTATGAGTTATGTCTTTTAAGCAACATTAGCTTGTGATATTCACCTATGTATAGCTATATTCTGTTCATTGTCATTGCTGAGTTATATTTTATTGAACAAGTATGCCATAACTTATCCACTCTACTGTCAGTAGATGTTTACAATTTCTGCTTTTACAAACAAAGCTGTTATCATCCTTTCAGCACATGCCTCCTGGTACAACTGTGCATGAACTTCTCTAGAATATAAACCTGGGAGAGGGACTGCACTTGGAATTTTTATTTCCAGTGTCCAGAAGTCAGCCCATGAGTTAGAACCGCAATGTACCCTTTATCCACACTAGGCCAGGGTCAGTGAGGATACTGTTTAAAATATTTTGCCAGACAGGAAGAGGGAGGTAGGCAGAAATTAACCTGGTGAGGTCAGGAGATATCACAGAACTCTGGTCCAAGTGTGTTGTAGTTAGGAAAAGTTCAGATTCTAAAATCATTTTCATTATTTGTTCTCCTCTTTCTTCCCCTTCATAGTTATTTTGTGCAAGATGTATTTTATTAAACTCATATCTAATAAAATGTTGATAATTTCAGTCTTTAAGTATTGATTATATATTTAAACATTTTGAACTGTATTTTAAATTTTTGTATGGATGAAAATTGCTGTTTCCTGAAAGGTCTTTTCAAAAAGACCTTTAATTTATGTAGGTTTAAATTTTGTTTACCTAATATTTATTTGGCAACCATATACTAATAGTTAATGATGATGTCACTATCATCATCATTATTTACCCATATATACTTTTATGCCTTTCAAAACACATTCCTGCCCTGGCTGGTGTGGCTCAGTGGCATGAGTGCTGGCCTGCAAACCAAAGAGTTTCTGGTTCGATTCCCAGTCAGGGCACACATCTGGGTTGCAGGCCAGGTCCCCCAGTGGGGGGCACACAAGAGGTAACCACACACATTGATGTTGCATTCCCTCTCTTTCTCCTTCCCTTCCACTCTCTAAAATAAATAAATAAAATCTTTAAAAGATACATTTCTGTCTTTGAGGTGCTTTCTCATCTGTAGCAATCTGTACTCGATTATATCATCTATTATATTATTTTATAGTTTCTTGCTTCATTTCTTTCTTCTCTACTAGAGAGTAAGTTGCTTCGAGGAAAGAATAATATCTTGATCAACACTATATCCCCAACAGCTAGCCCTGTACCTATTTGGTCTATATGGCTAGGTTCTAAGAGTTGAATTGAATCAATCTAATTTCAAACTTCAGTTTCATAACATGCTTAATCCACTCTTTGGAGTCAGATTTACCTAGGATGGAATCCTAGTTCACTTAATTTTTTCTGAGTGTATATTTCTTGTCCAAAAATATAGAGAAGATACAGAGCTACCTGAGAGGGTATGTGGGAAGATTAAATGAGATTATGTATATGAAATGGCCTGGCACATAGAGTACCTACATGCATGTTCTTCTAATTTTATTTGAACTGTCTGTATTAGTTACTGAAGTCAAGAAAGTGGGATGAAGATGATGCTTGCAAAAAAAGAAAAGAAAATGAAACAAACAAAAACTTCTGCTTTTTCCCTTGTTTCATGAATGTGGATGGGGGGCACAATTTTTACCCAAAGAAATTACATCTTTAGCCCAAGGAATGATATTTTTAGTATTTGGCTTATTAGTATATGGGAAGTGAAACCTGTTCCCTGTGGAATTTGTCACCTTGTTAGTCTTGGTTTTTTGGACAGACTCCTGCTGGCCCTTCAGTTAGGATAGGAAAGGGAAGGCTTATGAGGAGAACAGACAGGCCACCATAGCCAGCTGCTGGATTTGCATATGCTAAGAACTTTTTTGAGTGTTTTTGTTGTACTTGAAAAAAAAAGGCTAATATTTGTGTCTTAGAGATAAAAATGCTTTTCAAGTATAGCCTGAGTGAAAGCTCTCTTTTCTCTTGTCCTGCTAGTGCCACTCATTGGTGGGTTGAAGGGAGGAAATCCTTTCATGCTTTTTTAAAAATTCTGATGACTGTGCTAAACATAATTACCAAAGAACCATGGGTTGAAAGTGAAGGTGAGTAGTGAAAAGACAATAGAATAATTGAATCTGTGTTGGATTTGGAGATTGCTAGTCCTGGCCTTGGTGTCAAATAGTCCTGGGCTTCTCCTCTCTTGATTCTGACTTTCTTTGTCTGATACAAAAAGGAAAAAATGTCTCACAGAGTTGTTTTGCAGTGTTGAAATCACCCCATAAACCAATCAGGTTTGGGTTAGGGTTTATTCTCCTTCATTAGTAAGGAAGAAGTACTCATAAAAAATAGTAGCTGCATTCCTGTAGATGAGAATATGTATAATTTTTGTTTACCTGAGGCAGATTAACCCAAGAGGTCAGTTAAGTTTCATTTAATGCATAAGTATAAGACATTAAAAAGAAAAAATTACCCTGTGGTAGTAAAGCCATGTTTAAATTTGAATTAATTACTTTGTGAGACTAAGAATTACCCATTCCATCAATTCTTTTTCACATCCACCTAGAAGGATTCAGATGTGGGCCTTCTTAGAGATAGACAGACAGATAGACACTTAGAACTCTGAAGCTTCATCCTAGCCCCAGGAATCTATGAGTAATGTAATGGTCAGGTGTTGAGATGATAGCTTAAGAAATTTTTGAGAATCACTGTGCCTTGTTTTTCAACAAAAGTTTCAAGCATAGGTATTCTGCTATTTTATGTTGTAAAGTTGGGCTGAGGGCATATACATGTGATCTAGAGAGACACCTAAGAAAACTGAGAAAATGGAAAAAAACAAATACTGGTATGATAATACTAATTATGATACCTCACTTGTGTATTCATTTCGAGGGCTTTTTATTTTTTGGCCTAATTTATATCATTGCTGACAACAGTAGCCAGTAGTATGGGTGATGTTATTTTTATCTGCAGAAGAGAGTGACACTCAGAGACTAGAGCAAAATATATCAAACTCTTTTGATGTTTAATCTGGCTTGGCCAAAGGTCTCCCTTTGGACAAGGTAACATCATAGGACTGGGTTCATACCATTTTATTTTTTTCTGAAATTTTTATCTGACCATCATAATAAGCTAGATACCTTAACCTCAGGTTTCTGCCTTCATCCTTCCCTCACTAAGACTGGCTGGTTCCAGAGAACTTGTCTAATTCCTTTGCAGGATCTCTAAAGACTATGTCCACATAACAGAAAAACCTGCAAATATCCCTAGGAGAATTCCCAGGAAAATTCAGCTCCACACTGGCTCTATTAAGCAATAAATAACAGTAATGTACATTAACTAAGTATAGTTTACTCCTCAAGACCTCAGACTTCTACCCTCCTATTTCTGCCAACTACTGATGTGTATTGCTTTATTTTTCTTGTATCTTTCCAGTTTGGATACTTCAAGGGACCATGTTCTTCCCATTGACTATTACTTTCCACCCCAGAAGACCTGCCTGATCTGTGGGGATGAAGCTTCTGGCTGTCATTATGGAGCTCTCACTTGTGGAAGCTGCAAAGTCTTCTTTAAAAGAGCTGCTGAAGGTAAAGAGTCTTGCACACTCACTTCTATTTCCTTTTCTCCTTTATCTTCTGGAGAGAAGCACCAATTTTCCAGGGCCCAGGATTTTATCATGTAAGGTACAAGGTCACTGGCAGGGCCCCTCAAAGAATCTAAGAACCTAATGAAGCAAGTTTTCATATTTGCTGGTCCCCTGGCTTCTGCAGCCTTCGTAGTACAGGCAATGTAGGCAATGAAGGTGATCCCAGCTGGTAATTGGACCTTGTTCAGTCTAGGAATGAAAGAAAAATTAAAAATTTGAAAAGATTTAATTTCCATTCTCTTTGTCCTTATTAGAGAATTTAGAAGTATAGATATCCCCAACTGAGACCCCAGCCTGTACTTTTAGGTGAATATAAAACTGTTTCTTTTTTAAATTAAATTTATTTATTTAATTGTTGTTTAAGTACAGTTTTCTGTCCTTTACTCCCAGCCCAGCCCACCCCCCACTGCTCCCCACCTCCCTCCCATTTCCACCCCCCTTAGTTGTTGTCCATGTGTACTTTATACTTGTTCCTGTGAATCCTTCCCCTTTTCCCCTGAAATTCCCTTCCCTCTCCCTTCTGGACACTGTCAGCCTGTTCTCTATTTCAGTGTCTTTGGTTATACTTTGCTTGCTTGTTTGTTTTATTGATTAGATTCCTGTTAAAGGTGAGATCATATGGTATTTGTCTTTCACCACCTGGCTTATTGCACTCAGCAAAATATTTTCCAGTTCCATCCATGGTGTTGCAAAGGATAGGAGCTCCTTTTTTCTTTCTGCTGCATAGAATTCCATTGTGTAAATGTACCATAGTTTTTGGATCCATTCATTTACTGATGGGCACCTAAGTTGCTTCCAACTCTTGGCTATTGTGAATTGTGCTGCTATAAACATTGGGGTGCATAGGTTCTTTTGGATTGGTGTTTCAGGGTTCTTAGGATATAATCCAGCAGTGGAATTGCTGGGTCAAAGGCAGGTTCATTTTTAGTTTTCTCAGAAAATTCCATACTGTTTTCCATAGTGGTTGTACCAGTCTGCAATCCCATCAACAGTGAACTAGGGTTCCCTTTCCCCACAACCTCTTCAACACTTGTTTGTTGCTTTGTTTATGATGGCCATTCTGAGAGGTGTAAAGTGATATCTCATTGTGGTTTTAATTTGCATCTCTCTGATAGCTAGCGATATTGAGCATCTTTTCATGTGTCTCTGGATCCTCTGTATGTCCTCCTTGGAGAAGTGTCTGTTCAAGTCCTTTGCCCATTTTTTAATTGGGTTGCTTGTCTTCTTGGAGTGGAGTCGTGTGAGTTCTTTGTATATTTTGGAGATTAAACCCTTGTCTGAGGTATCATTAGCAAATATGTTTTCCCATACAGTTGGTTGTCTTGCTAATTTAATACTGTTTTCTTTAGCCATGCAGAAGCCTTTTGTTTTGATAAGATCCCATTTATTTATTCTTTCCTTTATGTTCCTTGCTGTAGGGGACATATCGGTAAAAATGTTGCTGCATGAAATATCTGAAATTTTCCTGCCAATGTTCTCCTCTAGGATTTTAATGGTGTCATGGCTTATATTTAAGTGTTTTATCCACCTTGAATTCATTTTGGCGTATGGTGTAAGTTGGTGCTCAAGTTTCATTTTTTTGCACATAGCTGTCCAGTTCTCCCAACACCATTTGTTGAAGAGGCTATTTTTACTTCATTTTCTGTTACTGCCCCCTTTGTCAAATATTAATTGCCCGTAGAGACTTGGGTTGATTTCTGGGCTCTCTGTTCTGTTCCATTGGTCTATGTGCCTGTTTTTATGCCAGTACCAGGCTGTTTTGATTACAGTGGCCTTGTAATACAGTTTGGTATCAGGTGTTGTGATCCCTCCTACTTTGTTCTTCTTTCTCAAAATAGCAGCTGCTATTCAGGCTCGTTTATGGTTCCACATAAATTTTTGAAGTGTTTGTTCTAGGTCTGTGAAGTATGTCATTGGTACTTTAATAAGTATTGCATTGAATCTGTAAATTGCTTTGGGTAGTATGGACATTTTGATAATATTAATTCTTCCAATCCATGAACACAGTATATGTTTCCCTTTGTTTGTGTCTTCCTTGACTTCTTTCTTCAGTGTTGTGCAGTTTTCTGCATACAGGTCTTTTACCTCCTTGGTTAAGTTTATTCCTAGGTATTTTATTTTTCTTTTTGCTATATTGAATGGGGATTTTTCTTGATATCTGCTTCTGCTATTTCATTGTTGGTATATAAAAATGCCCTTGTTTTCTGGATATTGACTTTGTAACCTGCTGTTTTTCCAAATTCATTTATTAGGTTGAGAAGTTTTTGGGTGAAGTCTATAGGATTTTCCATGTACACTATCATGTCATCTGCAAACAGTGACAGTTTTGTTTCCTCCTTTCCGATTTCAATACCTTTTATTTCCTTTTATTATCTGATTGCTGTGGCTAAGACTTCCAATACTATATTGAATGGAAGTGGTGAAAGTGGACCTTCTCTCATTCCTGATCTTACTAGAAAAGATTTAATTTATGCCCATTGAGTATGATGTTGGCCGTAGGTCTCTCATGTATGGCCTTTATTATATTGAGGAATTCTCCCTCTAGTCCTGCTTTGCTGAGTGTTTTTATCGTAAATGGGTGTTGTACCTCATCACAAGCTTTTTCCGCATCTATTGATATGATCATGTGATTTTTGTATTTGCTTTTGTTTATGTGATGTATTACATTTACTTATTTGCAAATATTGAACCATCCTTACATCCCTGAGATCAATCCCACTTGGTCATGGTGTATGATGTTTTGATGTATTGTTGGATGTGGTTTGCCAATATTTTGTTGAGGATTTTAGCATCTATGTTCATCAGTGATATTGGCCTGAAGTTTTCTTTGTTGTGTCTTTATTTGGTTTTGTAATTAGGATTGTGCTGGCTCTATAAAGAGTTTTGGAGTCTTCCATCATTTTGGATTTTTTGGAATAATCTGTGAAGGATAGGGGTTAGCTCTTCCTTAAGTACTTTATAGAATTTTCCTGTGAAACCATCTGGTCCAGGGCTTTTGTGTGATGGGAGTTTTTTGATTACTGCTTCAATTTCATCTCCTGTTTTTCGTCTATTCAGGTTTTCTGTTTCTTCTTCATTGAGTATTGGAAGATTATATTTTTCTAGAAATTTGTACATTTCCCCTAAGTTTTCAAATTTCTTGGCATACAGTTCTTCATAGTAATTTCCTACAATTCTTTCTATTTCTGTGGTGTCAGTTATAATCTCCCCTCTTTCATTTCTGATTGTGTTTATTTGTGACTTCTCTCCTCTTATGTTCATGAGCCTACTTCATGGCTTGTCGGTTTTGTTTATCTTTTCAAAAAACCAGCTCCTGGATTCATTGATCCTTAGAATTGTGCTTTAATCTCTATGTCATTTAATTCTGCTCTGATCCTGGTTATTTGCTTCCCTCTACTTGCTCTGGGCTGTCTTTGTTGTTGTTCCTCGAGTTCTTGCATGCGTAGGGTTAGGTTGTTTGTTTGAAATGTTTCTGTCTTTTTTAGGTAGGCCTCTATTGCTATGAACTTCCCTCTCAGGACTGCCTTCACTGTGTCCCATAAGTTTTGGATTGTCGTAAGTTAATTTTCACTTGTTTCCAGAAACTTTTTTTTCTTCCTTAATTTCATTCTTGACCCATTTATTGTTTAATACCATGCCATTCAATCTCCATGATTTTGAGCGTTTTGGCTTTTTTCCCTTGGGTTGGTTTTCAGTTTTAATCCCTTGTGATCAGAGAAAATGCTCGGGATGATTTCAATTTTCTTGAATTTGTTGAGGCTTGTTTTGTGTCCTATCATGTGGTCTATCTTTGAAAATGTTCCATGTGCATTTGATAGGAATTTGTATTTAGCTTCTTTGGGATGAAGGGCTCTATATATATATCAGTTAAGTCCATTTCATCTAGGGCATTGTTCAGTACCACAGTATCTTTGTGAATATTTTGTTTGGAAGACCTGTCCATTTTTGACAGTGGGGTGTTAAAATCCTGAACTATAATTGTGTTGCTGTCAATATCTTTCTTGAAGTACTCTAAGAGTGTCTTTATATATTTGGGTGCTCCTATGTTGGGTGCATATATATGGACAATGCTTATGTCTTCTTGGTGGATTCTTCCCTTAAGTATTACGAAGTGATCATCTTGGTCTCTTTTTATGGCCCTTTTTTTGAAGTCTATATTGTCTGATATTAGTATTTCTGCTCTGGCTTTTTTCCCCTTTCCCTTTGCTTGGAAAATTTGTTTCCAGCTCTTCACTTTAGTCTGTGTAGGTCTTTTGTCCTGAAGTCAGTCCCTTGTAGGCAGAAAATGTGTGGGTGATGCTTTCTTATCTATTCAGCTAGTCTATGTATTTTGATTGGAGCATTTAATCCATTTACGTTTAAGGTTATTATTGATAGGTACTTATTCATTGCCATTTTTATACCTGTGTTCCTCTCTGTCTCTCTCTTTTCCTACCTTTCCTTAGAGCAGTCCCTTTAGCATCTCTTGCAGAGCTATTTTGGTGGAGGCGTATTTTTTTAGACTTCTTTTGTCTTGGAAGCTCTTTATTTGGCCTTCTATCTTGATTGAGAGCCTTGGTGGTAATGTAACCTTGGTTGAAGGTCTCTGGTTCTCATGACTTGGAATATTTCTTGCCATTTTCTTCTTGCTTGGAGTGTTTCCATTGAGAAATGAGCAGCTAACCTTAATGGGGCTCCCTTGTATGTTACTTCCTTTTTCTCCCTTGCTGCCTTTAAGATTCTCTCTTTGTCTTGGAATTTTGCCATTTTAATGATGATGTGTCTTAAAGTGGGCCTGTTTGGGTTCCTCTTGATATGTATTCTCTTTGTTTCCTGGATTTGTATGACTTTTTCTCTCATCAAAGTAGGGAAGTTTTCCATCATTACTTTTTCAAATATGTTTTCTATCCCTTGCTCTTCTTCTTCTCCTTCTGGTATACCTATTGTTTGGATATCATTATG